CTCCAGCAGGTCCGTCCCAAGCCTGTACTGGTGCATGAGGTTGTTCCTCCCCAGGTGCAGGACCCTGCACTTGCCCTTGTTGAACCTCATCAGGTTCCTCTCTGCCCAGCTTTCCAGCCTGTCCAGGTCACACTGAATGGCAGCACAGCCTTCTGGTGTATCTACCACACTTCCCAGTTTGGTGTCGTCAGCAAACTTGCTGAGGGTACATTCTAACTCTTCATCCTTGGGACCCCCCCCGCGTCTCCTGGGGACTTGAGGAGCACGAGGACAGCGTGAAGCTGTCCTTCCTAGGGCTGCAGCATCTGGAGCCCTCGCAGGAGTGCAGCAGAGCTGCTGTGCCCCAGAGAAACGTGGCGTTCCCTCTGCCCAGGGGCCATCAAAGCCTCCCGGAGGTTCGCTGCTTGCTGTGCTTGCTCGACTGGGGACGGACACCGGTCGCTGAGCTCGCAGACTGGACCCAAAGGCTTTGCAAGCAGAACATCAGGTTTCTTTGCAGTGCCCCTGCCGTGGTGAGGGGGGACGCTGGTTTTCCTCACCCTGGAAGGGCGTTTGGTGGGTTGGTTGACTCGTCCTCAAGTGGGACGCGGTTTGTTCAGCGCAGAGCTCTCCTGGCTCTGGTGCTTCTCAAGCCGCAGCATCAAGGCCCAGATCTCGCTCTTTTTTTTTTTTCTTTTTTTTTTTTTCCCCAGGCACGTAGCCCACAGTGAAAATCTGGGGCGCTTAAAGTGTCTTGAAAAATGTGACTTAAAGTATCACAACATAAAACGAGACCGAAGTTTCCTTTTGGTTTGTGTCAGTTCCTTCCACTTCTGGCTCTGTCTGCGTGGGGATTTTTTTGGGTCAGTTTTCAAAAGTAAACTTAAGCTGCCAGCACTGTATTAGTGTCAGCCCTTTCCTCTTCCCCACGTAGAGATTTATTCCGATAGAAAAGACTTTGTTTTGCTTCTGTCAGTGGGTAGAACAAAAATGCGTCCTTCGCTGGAATGAAAGGACTGCGCGGGCCGGTTGCGCTGCGCTGGTGTCACCGGCCGTCGACTGGGAGCGGAGGGGCCAACGAAACGTTTATGGTTTAATGCGGTAAAGCAGAAAACGGTTCAAAGGGAGGTGACATTTTTAGGCCAGTCTAGCGTGCTAGTCCCGCTTATCTCAGCCCCGATCTGCAGACCCTGCCTCGCAGGTCGGGGTGCTGCAGCGTTAGCTACGCTCCAGCTTTTTCTCGTTGGTTTGGGGGTTTTAACTCTTAAAAGCGCGTCCGATGCTTGGACCCTGCAGGTACCTGACCCGCACAGAGGCTGCGGGGTTTGGCTGGAGGCGGCTTCCCTTCCCGGGCTTCGCGGGCGGCGGTGCGGAGCCCCCTCCCCGCGTTC